AGGGAGGACATCCATCACATAGCAATCTCGTGCGTGGGAAACTAACGTCGTCTACCCCAACCCTGCAGGAGACGGGACCTCCATTTATTCGTCCCTATCCGAGAAGACTAGAATATCTAATCATTTCTTGATGTTAAAGAAAGGAAGAATATTCTTCTCAATTAATTTTGAGACCCTGATTGTTGGTCCGGCCGGTATTGAACTCTCGACCTCCCGCACAGCAGTCCGGCGCTCTCCCAATTGAGCTAACCAGGCGGCGGTTAGTTCAATTGGGATCAGGCGGCGGTTAGCTCAAATGATCGCAGCTGAGACACATCTTTAGGTCTAGGGGCTAGGCGAATTGTGTCCAGCTTGCTCTTAACAGGACTGATACCCTCTTTACTCAAAATATGCCCCATATACTTCACTTGAGTTTGAAAGAATCAACACTTAAGGCCATTCACCTTAACATTGTGCTTTGCCAGTCTTCCAAAAACCTGTTTGATCACTTCCATGTGATTGTTGGCTCCACCTGATGTTGCCACTAGAATGTCGTCAACCCTCACCATCACACCCTTATTACCTGACAGGATAGAATCCATGACGCGTTGAAATTGGGAAGTTGCAGTTTTTACCCCAAAACACAGGCGTTTGGATCTAAATAAACCTTTTCTAGTGTTGATTGTTAGTAGCTGAGAGGACTCTTCATCCAAAAATAATTGGTTGAAAGCACTGGCTAAATCAATGACAGAAAAGATATCAGGAATCGCCCCATTTTGAGACAGCAATGCAAACATGTCTTGTATATTGGGTAATTTGTACACATCATCTTCTATGCGTTCATTAATGGCCTTGTAGTCCCCACATACTCGTATGGATCCATCAGATTTAGGGACATGTACCACAGGGCTTGCCCAATTGCTGATATAAAATATCTGATTCAACCAAACGATCATACTCTCTTTCAACATTCTCCACAAGCGAGTAAGGGACGGGTCTATCCTTCATGAACACTGGTTTGGCACCCTCTTTAAGTTTTAAGGATCCCTTAAAACCCTTGATACCAGAGCCCTGAGCGCAGAACAATATTTTGTGTTTTTCCAATACATCATTAAATTCAGCTGGAAAGGTCTCAGATTTAGGGATTGAAATCTCATTCTTGGTGATTTCTACTTTAACGTTAAGCACGTTCTTCCAGTCCACCCTTATTCTACTTAACCAATCTCGCCCAAACAATGCAGGGAGATTGCCTTCTACAACAATTAAATCGAGAATGTGTTCCTGATTTTCAAATTTCACTGGTAAAGTATTTTTTTCCCACTACTGGAATCTTTTCCCCTGAATAATTGTGTAAAATTACTCCCACAGGTTGAATGGGATAATCTGATAATTCTGCATCATAGACATGTTTAGACACTGTAGAACGAGATGCCCCCGTGTCTACTTCCATTTTACAATTAATCTGCGCCCTACCTAACTGAACAATTACTACATACGGTTTGACGCGATTTACATACTCAGTGGACAATTGTTCAGTTCCAGTTCTGTATAATCCAAAGGCCACACCTTCAGCTGCATCCATAGGTGTGCCTCTCGCATGATTATCACAGCTTCTTACACTTTCATCATCAGAAATACTATCGCAACAGGTCACCTTTGACTCCTTTGTACCACTTGATCTTCCTTTAAACTGCATTTGTGACAATCGGGCCTTACATACCGGGCGTATATGACCTCTCTTCTGGCAGTGATGGCATGTGGCATTTTTGAATCTACATGATTCAGATCGATGCTGCATACTTCCACATGATTTGCACTTGTCTGCCCTTTTGCTGTTCTGCTCCACGTTGCGTCCAGAATTGCCATGTTGAACCTTCTCGGCTTCAATATTAGCTAAATCTCGCATGTGTTCTATATTCGCTTTACCCGCCAATTCATCTGCAATACATTTCTCATGGGCCGCCGCGTAGGTTAACTCTCTTATTGACAGGAGATGACGTTGTGTTCTGGACATTTTCGGATGTAATCCAGAGACAAGTCTATCTCTTAGGGCTTCAGACAGAAAAGCACCAAAGCTGCATATTGATGCCAACTTCTTCAGTCTCACCACAAATTCTGACACGCTCTCGCATTCTTCTTGGGATGCCGTCCAAAACTTGTGTCTTTCCACGATCACAATAGGAGCCGGTTCAAAGTGTCCTTGCAACAGCTCTAACAACCGGGCAAACGTCTTGGTATTCGGATTCTCCGGATCACATAGATTCTTCAATAGCTTATAAGCATCTGGACCGATAACAGCTAGAAAAATATTTACCTTTTTATCGTCATCGATGTCATCCGCCGCCACGTAGGCTTCGAAACGATCGGCATAATCACTAAATTTTTCTGACTTTTCGTCGAAGGCACCAATATTGCCAATGAGTGCCGCCATTTCTACTCTCTGTCTAGATTTTGTATCCCATCCTCGTCGCCAATTTTGTATCCTGAAGGATATTAGAAGCGAAATAAAAGAATAAACAGAAAACACGTGAAGTTCACAGTAGACATTAACTCAACTGTATTCTTCAGGTATCGCATCATCTTACATCACGTGACCTACAAATACTACAACATGCAGTTGCTGCATTAAACTTTAGACATCACATGGCCCTGTATTAATTTATGAGGGCTCCATTCACAAGCATTGTAATGTTCAACTTAAGAAGAACTTAATAAAAAGCTCTTTCGATTTTATTTCAGTTTAAAGTTTATTTCGCCAAAAAGAAAAAAAAAAAGAAAATTAATAAACGCATGAGTCGGAGCCATTCCTGCCAGCAGTGAGATACAGGAATGGCTCCAGTCTCTAGTCGTCCACCTGAACTGAGTCTGCACTGACTAAATGAGTTTAGTCAGCGGAACGAGTCAGCAGAAGGCTTGGTCCTCTCCGGAATATCGCTGATCTAGAAAGGTCTCCCCTTCGTTGTGTAAATAACCGTCTCCGTCTCTTGCTTGACAAATCGGAATTTTCAGTCGCATTGATATTTCCCTGTTCCGCTTGGAGACACACGGTTAAACAATACTCACGCACAAGGAGTTAAGATGTAACTTATTAACTTTTACAAACTCTTACTATTTTTATCATCCAATTACAGGTCGGAGCCATTTCTATATTTAGTCGCTAGTAGGGAACGTTCCCTCTTGTCCGCCATGTTTAAAAATACCGCTGACTTGAAGGAATGCTTTGTACGTCACGTATGGGACACGTTCTGTACCAATATAAAATCCATGTAGGCTGGTTCACGATAATTTAAACTCTAGTACTGTCAGATGCTATAAAACGCCAGCCGGCTGTATCGAAACTTAACGTTTCTAAATTTAAGCGAAAATCGGTTACGTCTATAAACTACACCATATGATAGAATGAAGGATTAAATTATCAAAGAAAGTGTGGTGTTGGGTCGGTGGCGGCGGGGAATAGGCAATCTATAACAAACGGCAATGACAGGAATTTGGTTTTTGTCAACTGAGTTGATAATGTAGATTGACCACCGTAGGGGGATTGAGAAAAAAGCTGATGTTTCGATCATTAAGCCCTCTTCAGAGCGAAGTTTGCTATTACATGTTTTGCTGAGATTTTATGATGCTCGGCTAAATATTGGGTCAATTTACAGAGATTGTACAATGCCCCGTTTGCGTCAATTTATAGAGATTTTACGGTAACCCGTTTGCGACAATTTACAGAGATTTTACGGTACCCCGTGTGCGTCAATTTACAGAGATTTTACGGTACCCCGTTTGCGTCAATCTATAGAGATTTTACGGTACCCCGTTTGCGTCAATTTACCGAGATTTTACGGTACCCCGTATGCGTCAATTTACAGAGATTTTATGATACCCGTTTGCGTCACTTTACAGAGATTTTACGGTACCCCGTTTGCGTCAATTTACAGAGATTTTACGGTACTCCGTTTGCGTCAATGTACAGAGTTTATTATGCCCAGTTTGTGTTAATTTACAGCAGTGTAATTCACAGACATTTTATGTCAGACGTCCAATTTGGGTAAAATCTTTGTAAATAGTAGATTTACAAAAATTCTTTGTACATTTTATGAAGTCTGTAAATTGTAAGTATTTCTTCTCATTACTGCTCTTATAATTTGTTAAAATTTTACAAACTTTTTATAAAGACCTAAATTCGAAACTCTATAAAAACTCTGTAAGATGTCTGTAAAATAAATTTACAGAGATTTTGTTTTGAACAAGTAAAATTATGAAGTCTGTAAATGGTCCAAATTTTCTAGTGCGTTGTGGCTCGTTTTCCTCTGTTTACCGAGGGAAAATGAAAACCAAGACCGGAGAAGAGATAAATGTGGCTATAAAGGTTTATCGCGAGGCTTTTCATTTCCAGACTGAACTCGTCGTGAAGGAGGTTGATATTTTGAGGTAAGGAACTCGCTTTGTTAACTTCATTCAGAAGTTTGTTTTTGCGACTTTTTCGTTAATGCTTTTTTAAAATAGCAAGCCACAAGAAGGAAATCTTGAGGAGCGGCTGTGTTCGGAACTCCAGTCTTAACTAGTCACTACATGTGCTCAAACTGAGCTACTGCCATTTTTGATACTCGGAAGAAGGAGGAAAAAACTATCGTAGTTTAATTAGTAACTCAGAGAGATGGTGAATCGCGACGGATGGTCAAAGAACTGAGTGTGTTTTTAGGATTCATTGAAGTACGATGAGTTAGGTAGAGATATTCCGTTATTCCTTGTTTATAAACTAACTATGATTGAACAGTTCGAAATGATGTTTCAAAGATCAAATATTGTTTTCTGCTTATTCACGATCATTTTTTCCATGACCGAGCTCAAAATTTATCAGTATTTTGTGTTTTAATCGGACATTACAGCATCAATACATCGTGAAGTTTTACGGCACATTCCTTCTTGACACAGAAAGCAGCTACACCAGGGTGATACTCGTCATGGAACACTGCAAAAGTAATTTTGAGAATTACATCTTCCAGAATCCTGACAAGGTTCCAGCCAACTCCCAAAATCCTGCTGTCAGGAAAGAAACTTTTCAGTGGGCAAAACAGATCACTGCTGCTCTTGACTATATTCATAAAGAAGGATTTATTCACAGGGGTATTATGCTGAAAAACATATGGGTATGACACTCAAGGCTTTTTATCTTCCATGATGCTTATGCCCACAACTATATTTTTTATGAGAATGAAATATTCAACAAAACTATTATCTGATGAGAATTCCTAAATTGCGTTCCACTGCCAATCTGTTCGAAAGGTTTTGCACTGTAATTCAGAAAGTTGGTGTCAGTGTTTGTTTATCTTGACACAGAGGACGACCTGCCTTAAGTTTATAGAATAACTGTACAGAGCACGTATCATCTGACTGGTTACATGTCGAGAAATCGAATACGAAATGGCGGCGGCGTATGCGCAGTGTGAAAGATTTGCGGACTTTAAAAATGGTTGCCGTACAAAGCTTTATGTGAGAAATGAGTAAAATGCAGCTATATGTTTGGAGATAAAGTGGATAGTCAAAATGTCCACGTCTAAACCATTAAAATGAATAAAGGCTGATAGTTTCGAAAGAAACTGTTTGGGGCTGCGGCAGTGGGGGTAACGATATAATTTGGATATATCAACAAAGTTGAAATGGTAAATTGGCCACCGTAACGATTACAAAAGCTGACGTTTCGAGCGTTAGCCCTTCGTCGGAGCGAATAGAGGAATTGTGGGTTGTGTGTGCTTTTAAAGGCAGAAAATGGAGCTACGTTATTGGTGGGAACATGGCAACGAGAATTGAACCTACCGTGTTCACTGTCGTTAGTTAATGCTGCCATCCTCCTCTTTCGGAAAAAGTACACCAAT